ATTAGCATGTTGAAGAGGGGGGTGGGGTGGGGGGGGGGATCGAAACCAGGGAAGGCAAAATATTAAACTTCAACTTTAACTATCTGAGCCCAGACTGTCTATTATACTCTTTGAAACATTTCTTGGGTGCAATACTTATCCATTTTTTTTTTCCCGTCCAGCTGAATCATTTCCCAGGGTCTTTTCAGATTGGCCGGAAGGATCGCCTGTGGCGGAATTTGTCAAAGATGCAGGCTCGTTTTGGCCGCAAGGAGTTCAACTTCTTCCCTCAGTCATTTGTTCTTCCTCAGGATATCAAGCTGCTGAGGAAAGCTTGGGAGGAAGGGGGAACACGGCAGAAATGGATCGTCAAACCGGTATGGGGCCCCCGATATTGTGATAATCGCAGGTTATTTGCAGTAGAGAGCACGGAGGGTGGAATTCACTGTATCTTCTATTGCTTGTGGGCTCCCCATCCGAGGAGGCTGGCATCTGTAGTAAGCATGATCGAACTCTGTGGATCCAGAGACACACCCCCCGAAAGGGATTGTGACCTCGTCCACCACAGCAAGTCCCTCCGCACCGTCTGTGGAAGGAAAATCCGCTGGCTCAATGCCGTATGATTCCATTGATGAAGTAAACAGATTTGAAGGCTGCGCATGTGCCAGAGTGCCCAAGGGACTGTTGGGATGCAATGATGTCAACATTCCCAAGAGCATCATGCAGTCCCTTGCAGACAGAGACGGTACCGTGATGGCTTTCCGAGCACAGGAAACTATTTCGCATCTGCGTCGGACTGGAAGGAAGACCCTTGCCAGGGATGAGTCCAGAAGTACCCCCAAATACTCCATCCTTTGCGTGGGAACCAGTTGACTCTTCTCGTGGTTCACCAACCACCCGAAACGGAACAACGTCCCCAATACATGATCCCGACGGATGCCCAAGGAGAGGCTGGTGCTGTCCAGTACCAAAATATCGTCCAAGTAGTGCAATATCTTTATTCCCTGTGTGCGAAGGAGGGCGATCACGGATAATAATAGTTTTGAGAAAGTCCTTGGTGCCGAAGAAAGGCCGAACGGCAATGCCCTGAATTGGAAATGCATACCCGCCACTGAAAACCGGAGGAACCTCTGATGACAGAGAACAACTGGCACATGCAGGTATGCATGCATCCTCCAAGTCCACGGACACCATCCACTCTCCCCTCTCGACAATGGCAATAATTGTCTAGACTGACACCATCCTGAATGATTCTGGTTTGACAGACATTCAATTCTTTTAAGTCCAATACTGGGCGGAGCCCGCCTGAAGATTTGGTCACCAGAAACAGAGTTGAGTAAAATCCTTGACCTAACTCCTCCATTGGAACCGGCACAATGGCCCCTTTCTGCAGCAATTCTTTGACATATCCGAGCAGACAATCTCTTCGGACAGGATCCCGAGGCACTGGTGTTTGAATGAATCGTGGGGTTGGTGTACTCTGGAACTCCACCCGATATCCAGTAGTGACGATCTTCCTGGCCCATGAATCGTCCACTTGTACCACCCAAGTATCCCGGAACAGGAGCAATCTTGCTCCCACCCGAGGGACCTGGGTGGGCGCACCTTCAAAACTGTTTAGGTGGGGCCTTACTCGATTGACCCGCTTTCGCCTTCACATCCCAAAGTAGGGAACTTTGTGTTCCTTTCCATTGGGGCCTGGAAAACTGCCTGCCCGGCCTATATGACCTAGCATCCCGGAACTTCTGGGACGGCTGACTGGGGCGGAAGACCTGCTGTCTTCTCCGATTGGCTTGTGGTAGAAGCCCCGACTTGCCCCCGGTGACTCTCTTGATAGCTTCATCAAGTGTCTTACCAAATAGCGTCTTGCCGTTGTATGGAATCGAACACAGTGCCTGCTTAGAGGCTGCATCTGCAGTCCAGTGGCGTAGCCACAATGCTCTTTTAGCTGAAATGGACTGAACCATCAATTTCGACGAAAGTCGCACCAAATCCACTGAAGATTCTGCCAGAAAGTCTGCTGATAGTAACAGCTCCTCCAGTGCTGCCAAGATGCGAGCACTATCTAGACCCTTTAAGTCCGCATCGATTCTGCGATCCATCGCGTCTTTAAATGATAGAGTTATCTAGCGGAAGAGACATGTGACGTGCCAATCTTTGCAGCGATGCATCCACTGCTGGGGGGGACTCCCAAAGAGCCGCATCGGCTGCAGCCATAGGGTATAGTTTGGAGAACCGATTCTGGAAGTTTAGTTTCCGGTCTGGCCGCTGGCACTCCTCCTCCACGAGATCACGAATTTCTGGAAACGCAGGCCCCTCCTTTTTCAGCCTTGGAAAATACTTCGGGCTATCTTTAGGTGGAGTAGCGGATTCCCATCCGATTGCCTCCTTAATGGCCGTGATAAATGGAGTCATGAGATCAAAATCAAATGCGTGTAGGGCCGGTTCTTCGTTTACCGATGAACCCTCTGAGAGCACCTCACCCTCATCAGAGCCCGCTAAAGCCCTGTTTGGCTTAGGCCTAGAAGTAGGTGCTTGAGAGGTGGACAGCCTCTCTGGAAGAAGCTCCTGCAAACTTTCCTGGATGGCCTGTCTGATGTAGGATTTTATCTGAAAAGACTCTGATTCCCGGTCTCCTGCGATATCCCGTAGGCATTGTTGGCAAACTGACTTCCCTGGCATTGCTTGTGCCGAACATGCCCAACAAGAGGGTAGAGCTTGCTGTTCTGGGGACCTCTGTAGTGAAGGTAGGTCCCTATGTCGATGGGATCGGTGGCCGCTAGGTGCCACATCCTGAGGAGAGTCTGATGAAGAAGAACGCCGTCTGTCCCTTTTCCTCCGGGATTTCTTATGGGCAGGGCTTTTACTCCTGGAAATACAAATATAACATCAGTATATTGTATGCCCGAACTGTGCACTCTTTTCAAGATCCCCCGGCGCCTCCCTACCTCTCCGAAGGCTTCAGTGCGTCTACTGTAGGGGGAGGTGAACTCATGCTGAATTCCACTGACAAGAGGAGAGGAGGAGAAAGAAGAAGAAAAAAAAAAATTTTTTTTTTGAAGGTGGTCCTGTGGGGTCAGAGGGGCGGAGCTGACCCATCGGTATGCTGACATGAGGTGAGCCAGGAAATATGTATTCTATCTTCTGCTGCTATTTACGAATCTCTTCTGATTCAGACAAGATCCAACAATGAAGAAAAACCTGTTTAAAACACCTCAGGTCATTTTCACCTCATGTCCATACGCATCTAGTAAGCTCCTAAATATAACATTGAATTCCTTATCCTGCTCAGAGCACTTTCTCATACATGAATATATTCAATAGCCACAAAGGATAGCAGCAGTGACTGGTCTTTGTTGCAGGAAGTTTCACACTGAATCTGGAAGAAATGCCCAAAGATCACCGGGATTCATATTGATCTATGTAGACAATATGTGCTTATCCCAGAGTGTAGCTCTAGCCCTATGCCATGTTCAGTAAAGTGTTCAAGGTATACGGCTTATGAATTTGAAGTTCAAAAAGATAACTTACACTTTTTTCTGTCATTTTTGAGAGCTGCACTGCAGTCATGAACGAGGCAGCTAGTTTATTTATTCATTTTTTACCCGGCTTTATATATAGCGCTGACAATTTACACAGCGCTTTACATGTGCACATTCACATCTTTCCCTGCTTTCAAGGAGCTTACAATCTAAGGTCCCTATCTCACATGCATGCATACATACAGGAGCCAATTAACCTTCCAGCATGTCTTTGGAGTGTGGGAGGAAACCCACACAAGCACAGGGAGGACATGCAAACTCCTTGCAGATAGTGTTCTGACCGGAATTCAAACCGGGGGCACCCAGTGCAGTAAGGCAGAAATGCTAACCACTATGCTTCTGTTTTTTGAGTCGCCTACAGAAACCTGGCTTGTGCCGCACTCTTTCTATATACACTGAGTGGCCAGATTATTATGACCACCCCATCAGTACTTCGTTGGGCCGCCTCGTGACTCCACGAGATGATGAAAGGTGATGCGAGGAATCTGACACGGCACTGTTGCCCTTCTGTTGTCTTGTACCAGTCTTGCCACTCTCCGTTCTGCCCTAACATTGACTAGTCGCTGACGGCCACAATTCGCACGTTCTGACCCAGATCTTCGGCTGACAGTCCAGTCTTTAAACACTTTAACAACAGCTGCTCTTGAACATTTAACGAATTCTGCTGTTTTGCTGATACTCGCTCCATGGCTCCGAGCGCCAACAATCATCCCACGTTCAAAGGCTGTTAAATCGTGTTGTTTCCCCGTATCTTCAGAAACAAATCACTCCTACTGACGTGGTAACCAACCTGCTTCCCTATTTATAATGGTCTGGCCCTCTAGCAACTTCAGAGCGAAATTATAGCTAATTTACCTACAAACGTCAGGTGGTCATAATAATCTGGCCACTCAGTGTAGATCCTATCCCCAAAGACATTCTGTGCACCCTTTTCAGTGTGCATGTTTGGTTAAACAGGAACTATAGGATTTTTAAATGTTAACTTTTTTTTTTTTTAGTGGGGCTACCCCTGTACTGCCAGATTTCACTGATCATTTTTAGTCTAGGGGAACTAATATAGAAAATATACTTGCCTGACCCTCGATCCCACGTGGCTGCTAGACCGGTCTCCGAACCCTCTTCTGACTGTACTCTGGTGATCTAAGGACCTGTGGCGTCGTCAGGCCTTTAGGCGCCCTGTGCGAGAAAGCTTTACAGCGCCTCTCAGTAACCACACCCCTCAGTGGCCACACCTTTTAGTGGCCACACACCCATTTATCACCCATATTTTTGGTAAAATATAAAAAGACGGGGTCACGTCGGGTAAATAGACACCAAACATGTCATGCTTTAAAATTGCGCGCACCTGCAAAATCGCAAAAAATTACCATGCCCAAAATTGACCATAGGTGACGCTTTAAAAGCTTTTACCGCTCATCAGTTTAGTGTTATCAGTGATTGATAGCTCTACAATTATTGCTCTCATTCCGACGTTCGCAACGATATGTAACATGTGCGGCGTAATGGGCGAAATCGTCGTTTTCCCACGTATGCGCACCCGACGCCTGTTTGCATGCGTGTATGTATGGGGGGGACTTTAAAAAAAAATTGAATTCTTTTTTATTTGTAACTTTACATTTTTGGGGGGGAAACTTTATTGCTATTACATAGCGGGGTTAGAAAACCCCCTTATGTGATAGCAAAATATGTGACAGGTCCTCTTTATGGAGACATCAAGGGTGATTCTTTACATCACGGCATTGCTTTTGTCATAAGTATCTCTGATGATGCCTAGAATCTAGAGATGTGACAGGTCCTCTTTATGGAGACATCAGCCCCTAATGTCACCTAGGACCCCCCTGAAGAAGCTGATGAAGCAAAGATCTGCTTCATCAGCTTCTCTCCAATATCTGAAGCTGGAGAGTGACACAAGAATGCGGAAGTGATGTAATATACATCAGTTCTGCATTCTGACAGCGGAGAGGGGACCGGAGGGAGCTTGTGTACCTACCTCCCTCTGATCCCCTGTGACAGAGGCCATACTGCTGTGCCCAGTGCGAGCCCGGGATCAGCTTGACAGCGGGAGGGGGGGAGCCGGGGAGGGCGCAATTCACGGGACCTCATACAAGCGATCCGCCGGCTCTATAGCCGGCGGATCGCTTGTATGTTAACAGGCATCGCTGCCTGTTTTCAAATAACGGGCATTTCCCGCTCGCGAGCGCCCAGCGGTGCGCGTGAGGGGGCGTGGCTGAGCGGACGTCTAAAGACGCCCGCTCAGATCTAGAGAGCTCCTGGCCGGCCGTTTTTTTACAACGGCCGGCCGGGAAGTGGTAAAAATCATTTTTAAAATTTTTTTATTTTTTTACTGTTGGTGGGGCTTTGGGAAATATTAGGGGTCCAAACAGACCCCTGACATTTCCCTTTTAAAATAGAAAAGAAATTGAGGACACCAAATCCTCAATTTCTTTTTTAGCAGCCTCAGCACTCAATGAATGGGAAGCACTCAGTACAGAGGCTCCTCCCATTCATACTTACTATCAATAGTTTCTGAATGGGGAGGAGCCTCTGTACTGAGTGCTTCTCCCCATTGGTGAAATCTTGAATGAACAGGCTGCGATGTAAATCACAGCCTGCTCATTCATAACTGAGGACACATAGCACTGTGTCCCTTCATCAGGCTTTAGCCTTCATCAATGCTAAAGCCTGATGAAGGGACCCTTCGCGGTCCCGAAAGCGCTTGTTTGGTCATATGACAAAAAACTTCAATAAATGAAGCTTTTGCTATCTTAAAAGGATTGGTGTGCTGGTGACATTTCTACAATTTTGCTGACATTCGCGGCGCCATCCGCGGTCACTGCGAGCACCCCCCACTACAAAGGACATATCGGTAAGGAGTGCGACAAGGAGAGTACACATAGCACTATGTGTCCCCAGTTATTTATAAACACTGGAGTGATCAGGCGATGTAGCGGTGAGGGGGAGAGAAACCGCCCCCAGGACGAGCTGTGTCGGCCGCATGGCGCCCTTGTTGCCATGGCGCCCTGTGCGGCCGCACTGCTCGCACACCCCTAAGGCCGGCCCTGGGCGTCGTCATGTCTATATACAGTCTATTAGACGTGAAGATGCCAAGGGACAGCCAGAGCGGCAGGGAAGAGAGGTGCTGCCGCAGGACTGAGGATCAGATGATTATATATATTTTTTTTTTGTATTCCGTTTCCTAGCCCAAAATTAGCCGTTATCCCTTGCAGTGCAGGGGTAGCCCCACTGCAAGGCATAACTTCTGAAAATCCTGGAATTCTTCTTTAACGGGTCAGCCACTGTTAAAGTGGAAAGAAGGGACCCCCCTGGCATAATTTTGCCTTCTTTGTGTATTTCATTTTGCTTCCATACTATCCACAGAAGGCTCTATGGCTTCTACCTTTTTATCCTCCTTTTTTTTCTACTGTTGTTTTTAATAGGTTTTGTATTTTTATGAAGAAAGTGGAAATGTCATTTGTTCAGGCCTTTAATTCATTAAGAAATCTGTAGGCTTCAATTGCTGACCTCGCCTTCTAGAAATGCTAGAATGTTCATATCTTCTGTAGATATGTATTTTAGATTGTTGTATCTTTTCTTATTAGCCAGCATCGGCCAGAGGAATGGGGATCCAGGTTATACACAAGTGGAGCCAGCTTCCTAAGAAGAGGCCGCTGCTGGTACAGAGGTAAGCAGAGCAGCACCTTGTCGAATTGCATCATAGCAGCTTAATGGTATCAATTTGCTACTCTGGTAAGCTTTTGCTCCTCTAAATACAGCAATGTTGCCATCGGCTGGAATTGACTGCTCACAATGCTGTGCGTTACATTGCCTGCCCTGCCTCTCTGATCTGAGGTCTCAAGGTGCAGGAATTGGGCTGATCTGAGCCTATTCACTAGCATACCAGCTGTCTAATGCTTGTTAATTGCGGCTTCATGTGAAAAAGGTTGATGACCCCTGCATTAGGTGACCACACAAAGGAAGCGATGCTCCTCCACGGCTCAGGAAAGGAATGAGCCAGGTGATTGCCGCTGGGAGCTCGTCTTCACTCCAGTATGAGCCCATACAAACAGAAGAAAAGCTTGCCGCCCACTGGTTTCCTGCCCAAGGTCCTCCTCCCTTACAGTGGGTGGACTTTGGGCGGTACACCAGTGATGTGGTACAAGCTTCAATAAACTCCCAGCAGAATCTGGTGTGTGGTCATCTCTTTCTTCATTAGTATGCCCCTGCATTAAACTGAAGTGTGGCAGTATGGGATATTGCGCGCCATAATTGCTGTTTGCACTGCCTTAAGTGATAAGCCATTAAAAACATATATGTGCTGCCTACAATCACCAATAGGATTCTTCTAATTTAACAGTTGGTATCTGAAAGTTTTAGGGCTTGTTCACACGACATCCGGATTCTGTCCTGACCAGATCCGTTCGCTCCTGCACTAAAAATGCATCCCAATGTATCCCTATGTGTTTTATGGGCTACAGTTTTCACGTGCGCAGTCTGTTCAGGTCACAACAGAAACAATACTGCATGTCACATTTTGTCCAGTCCGGAAACGCACGAACGCGTCAAAAACACGCCGAAAACAGACTGCACTGCAGCTAAGCAAAAAAAAGTGAGCTTGCAAATCCTCATATAAACTCCAAAGCTGACCCTTGGGGTCCCTGAGCCTCAGGATCGGGTGTACCCAATAACGACGTCTCCTGCGAGCTCGTTCTCTGCAGATTGCTGTAGCCAGCACCAACACCATGCCTGCAAACCTGTGATACATGTCTGATCACCAGCTTTTTTTAACTTTAATAGTTTTTTTTATTTTAAGATTACATTACAAACATTTTACATCAACAATTACATATTAAAATGATCACCAGCTTGACATGCACAAAGGGAAGTGGTGGTCCCGGGGGGGGGGTGGAAGTGACCTCGGAGAAAGAATCTGCATACTGACAGCCCCACGGCTTAAAAAAAAAGAACTGTCAGCAACCGGACCGCGGTAAAAACCGCGTCAAACGCACTGCATGCAGAGCACCGCGTCTGCAGATCAGGAGCGGAAAATCGTGTGAACAAACCCTAAATCTGATTGGATGCTGTGGAAAGCACAGGCTGTACTTGTCTAGCACAACTTGGAAGTGATATGGAGCAACAGCAGCTCACTGGACAAATCTGTAGTCTGTACTGATATAATATGAATGTCAAGTTGACATTTAATACTCTGCTTTTATTGTATGTCTTCAGGTACCTGCACAAACCCTACCTCATCAGTGGCAGCAAGTTTGACTTGAGGATTTATGTTTACGTGACGTCCTATGACCCCCTGAGAGTGTACCTGTTTACCGATGGCTTAGTGCGGTTTGCTAGCTGCAAGTAGGTATCTCTGTTCGTTTATATATTGTCATTGTCAACTATTGAGGTTATATATCTACAAACAGTCTTTTTCCAGCCCAGTATCTCTGTAAATGGATAATTTACTTTTCTAGTGAATGTTAAATTTGAATTGTGTGACTTCATGGGGATCTCTGCTGGTCTTACTGCACACTGTCTGTATAGGAGTTGAATCCGAGGCTGTACTTGACAGATCAGGGACTTGGTGTCATTCGTCTTCCTTTCCTCAGATTGTTTTTACTTTGACATTTATAGGTCATTATATGACCAAGCCAGAGCATATCTCTGTAGTTCTCTGTATATTTTGTAATCCTTATAGCATCTCTTTTCCCAGGTATTCATCTTCCATGAAAAGTCTGAGCAACAAGTTCATGCACTTAACGAACTACAGTGTCAATAAGAAAAATGTGGACTACAAGGCCAATGCAGATGAGACGGCTTGCCAGGGACATAAATGGTACGTTGAGCCCGGAGTCTTATTTATGTCATGTGACATAAATAAGTCTTATGTTATGTTAGGGGTGAGTGGAAAGATAAAGAAAAATGGTCACAAGTGAAAGTGCGGAATGAATTATCACTTATGAAAAGTGAATGATGCTTCTATTGTAGATTGTTTGGATTACAGCTTTCCTTAGGAAATAAAACAAAGGAAAAAGAGAGCGCATGGTCTGGTCCATAACAATAAATCTAATTGTTCAGTTCATTTTCTAACCTGCATTAGGAGTGTTGGGGAGCTGGAATAGGGTGCATGGTATAGTTTTGGTAGTGAATGCAATGCAGCTTTATTTCTTGTTGCTTTTTTGTATTCTGCTTTTTTTTTTTTCTCCAGTCTAGTTGAACAATGATTAAGCAGAGATAGTAACGCCATTCTTTATGCAGGGCACTCAAGGCTTTGTGGACATACCTCAACCAGAAGGGATTCAGCAGTGAGAAGATCTGGGAGAAGATCAAAGAAATGGTGATAAAGACAATTATTGCGTGAGTCTAAGAACACTAAGATCATGGGCCAGTTTCTCCTACGAGTTTTTTGTGACGATAGCTTCCTCCCTAATTTCATATTTTGTGTACATGTGTCTATCTATGTGTGTGTGTGTGTGTGTGTGTGTGTGTGTGTGTGTGTGTGTGTGTGTGTGTATGTGTGTGTGTGTGTGTCTGTATATATA